TTCACGAGCATAATTTCAAGGGGGCTCGGAGGAGCGAGACCGGAAATAAGAAACACGGTACCATCAATGAAAGCCCTGGAAACGTACAGTACAGGAAGCTGCCCACTTTCCTTTGCTTCCAAGGGAAATGGAAAGACGAGTCTGGCATATTGGTGTCCATTTTAAAAATGTAATAACTATTGCATAGTGCGCATGACAGATCTGCTAGCACATTGAATCCCATGCAAGCTGAGAACATGTGTATGCAGCTCAAAGTTCACAACATTCACAATGTGTCTCCACCGCATTCAACTTTCTCAGAGAACAGGGAGATGGACTTCCCGGGTCATCCTTTGCCATTGTGAGCAGGCGACAGTACAGCAAAGACACACCAAGACTACACTCGTCTAGTTTATGTCTCAGTTTGGAGCTGAAGGATGCATTGTATTCGTCTGATATCGCCTTTTGATCTGAAGAGATTTTTTCGTTGTACAGTTTAAGGTGTATGGCACACGAGCTTCTGTCGTGAAATAGAAAGGTCTTTTAGTGCACTCAACGAGTACTCTTGATAAATCTGTGTTTCTACTTGACGTTTTCGCCTTCTTGCATGTCAGCCAGAAAATGTCAATGTTCTTGCCCAGCACCTCGAGGAAGATATTCTGAAAGAACAATGAGATTACTGTGACTTTCAGATTCGTGTACAGAAAATTCCATCTTTTTTTTTTGAAGTTGGAAACCCTTTGTAGAAAAATAACATTTTCCAAGAGATTGAAGTCGTCGGGCGTCCTTTACAATACAATGAGTGAGTGTTTGCCTTTGGCATTTCTTCTCACCGGAAATTGCCCAGTTACTTTTGGTATTAATTTTCCTCTCATTGACAGTGTAGAAGTACTATAGAATCACGTTTGCTTTTCTTGCCACCCTATGGCGAAATGATAACTTTCTCTTTATTTATTTTAAAAGATATAAATTAAAAATGAAAAGTGAATTCTCCAAAATTCAGTGTCACGTCTGAATATTGACACAGTCAAGGAAAGCATTCCTACACAGACATTGATTCATCTGGCACCGTTTCGTTTTAAAATTCACAAACTGCTTATGAAGCCAACATTACATTATTTTGGTCAAGGTCATTCTTTCTTCCTCGTTCTCGATGACAGCAGCTAGACAGTCAGTCCGATGTTGCGCACAACTGTGCAGCCCGCTTTAAATCTAAGAGACTGCCATAGAGCTTTCTCTCAAGGGGAGTCACATTCTGTCACGTCTGTGTACGAAGGGTGGCGTAGCGAGGGCAGTGCTGAAGGATATGGTCGGCATTCTCTTTGCCGTGTCCTCATTCGCAGATCGCGGACTCTCCCACTTTTAATTTAGTGTGCAAATGGCGTTTGAGTCTGTTGTGGCTACTACGGAGTCGAAAGACTGTGACCTGGTCTGCTCTATTTAGTATGCAGTAAGGGTCACGTCTGTTGTGTTTAGGGTGGGATCTTTTCCATCTGTTTCTTACGGCAGGTTTTATTATTGTTATTAACTGTGAGTGATCAAAGCCACCTTCAATCTGGGTCATTTTGGTTCCTTCTTTGGGTAAGTCGTCTGGTCAAGGGCAAAATCTGTTAAGGTGTTTGCCTCTCATTCAATAGGTCCCGGGTTCGAATCCGGAAAACGATGAAACATTTTCTTTTCGAAAATATTCTCTTTTCGAAAATATTCTCTTTTCACACCCTTTCCTGCTCTCATACAATGTTCTACCGCCTGATCCCTTGGTGGTCCAAAATCGATAAGAGTAGGCTTCGGCCGCCACCCTGGAAAAATTCAAAATTTCCTACCAACTGAAAATGTTTAATGTATCCCGTGCGCTCATACAACCTTATGCAGTTGCGAGCGCCGCAAAACACTTACAAACAATTTAAAAAATTAATTTTAATGTCTCGGTCTTTCTGCTGGGATATTGTATCCCTCTGGTCCTGGGTTAGTCCTGACAGGCAGGGGGTGAAGCCTGCCTCCCAAATGATCTAAACTGTGTCGATGGGGGCGTAAAAATCCTACAATTAGATACATCTCGACTTGTACACCCAGGAATCACACACACGTCCTATGCGAGCAGCGGCTAAAGAGTTCGCCAGTTTACATTACATGGTAGACATCAGGGCCTGGATGAACGTTGGTCCGTATAATGGACTAACCGCGTTTATCCCCTACACAGGCGTTTAGGCTGGAACAATCTTTATGCTTTAGTTCTAATAAAAGTTTTACGGCACTTGCAACACAATTAGGTCATATAAGTGCCGAAGATTAGGTGTTACAAGAGAGTAACAAACAAAAGAAAAAAAGAAGGGGGAGTGATCAGGACGATAAGTGTTTGATAGGAAAGAAGGAGCAAACCACACCAGAGCACCCGCCAACCAACCACAATCTGTATCCGCGTCAATCTGGTTAGACTATCCTGTACGGATTTTCGTGTTTAAAGTTGTCGCACCTCTGGGGTCCGATAGTGGGCCTAAACGCGTGTAAATATGGCTGCACTTTTTGTTTTTCCAAGCACGACAGCGGCGTCTTCTACGAAGAAACGGGATTTTCAGGGACGGTGCTAATCCTAGGCTTCTCTGAGAAGGGCTAGTGCTAATCCCTTCGACTCGTACGACGACAGAGAAATGTTTCGCAAGTTCCGAATTCGTTGGGAGCACATCCTGGAACTAGTGTTCAGGCTACAGGACTCGTAATCGTGAGGTTTCAAGTTCTGGGGTTCGAGCCTCAGCTTGGCCTAACATTGCGTCCTTAGGAAAGACACCTTACACGAAATTCCCATTTGGTTCGGTCCTTTTGGAGAGGTCACGCCTCTTAAGTAACTTAATAGTGTTGACAGAGGCGTTAAACCTATAATATAATTTCACCATTTTTCACAGACACCAGTTGATTCTCTGGTTGGAGGCTACAGACAACCGTAGACACTTTGTTCATTGGTTTTATTTTCTTTCAGAAGCACACAGCGTATTTTTAAAAATAGAAATGAAGCTATCGAAAATATTTAAGTATTCCCAGTGTAGCTTCGGAGCAATTTCAGAGAGGGATTAATTAACACTGACATTTTGGAATTTACGTACATCGACAGAGAGACGCATAAAATGAAGTTGTTATTACATGAACAAGTTAGCTTAGAACTAAAAGATGGAGGAGAAGGAGGACGAGGAGGAACGAGGAGGAGCAGGAGCAGGAGGGGGAGGAGTAGAAGTAGAAGAAGAAGAAGAAGAAGAAGAAGAAGAAGAAGAAGAAGAAGAAGAAGAAG